TTCAAGCCGACCCACAACAACAGTTTTTCGTAAAAGCTAGCAAACACAAAGAACAACCAGTCCATGGGGGGAAGCAGTGGATAGCTGCTAGCTAGCTAAGCAGCCAACTAAACAGCTAGCTAAGCAGCTAACTAAACAGCTAGTGGGTACTTGTTGTTTTTATGTAGAAAACGACAAACTTAAAATGCAAAAAACGTTTATTAGTAGGAATGCACAATATATCGGCGACCACATCGGTATCGGCCGATATTAGTGTTTTTTCTGATATATCGGTATCGGTCCGATGAACAAATTAATCCGATGTGATGATTGTCTAACATCAGCGCCTTCGTCTCTACATTTGATAACACTGCTAGTCCACAGATGTTTTTACTTAAATGCTCCTGGACTTGAACGCTAAATATCCTAAAATAAGTTCAAATATGTTCTACTTCTGTTATGTAATAAAGAAGACTATGTGGTGTAATTTAGCTTCTTTTGAATAGTTTTCACGTCCTTACAGTGCTTGCTTATACCCATTTTTGTATATCGACATCGGTAATATCGGTTATCGGCGATATCAGAAATCTTAATATCGGATATCGATATCGGCCAGAAATTTTAATATCGTGCTTCACTATTTATTAGCAATAATTACTGATTTTGACTTTGAAAATCTTTAATGTCCCCGGAGGGCAATTTGGTTTGCAGCAAAAGTTAGAATCACACAGTAAAATCTCACATGGCACACATGACTGTGCAAACTCTGGTTGCAAAGGACATCTCAGGCACCAAATACCACCGGCTACATGTCGTCCATCAATACAGACTCATCAGTATCAGCTGTTTACGGGCAGCAGGTCGATGAATACTGTGGCTGCTGCAGGTTCAGGAGTCCTGGATGAACTGTGTTAACCTCAACCTCCTCTAAAGCAGCCAAACAGGACTTCACGATATCAGACGGAGGTGTTTGCGCGATTACAGGCGCTAGCAGCGACGACTTTTATCACCACCGAGTGGGAACCACGGCTTCGTGTGACCGACAGCAACCATAAAAACCGCACGAAATCCTTCCACCTTCCCAAAATGTTCACTGATTTACTGCCGCTCCCGGTGTGATCTGGTGTATATGGTGCAGTATAATGTAAAAAACAAACTGTCTGTGTGCAAAGCAGAACCACATAATCAGAGAGCGACGGCCCGAACTGCCTCGTAATCGCATGAGATAAGCAGAAGTGGCTGCTGGCGGATGAGTTCTGGGTCTGGACAACCTGTTCCCAGCAGAACGGCACTAACTCTGCTCCTCAGAGGACCGACCGGGCTCAGAGCTCATCTTCTACACGCGCCATGAAATTACAAAAATCAGCTTTTTAATAGTGAAAATGCAAATGCAATCTGTTCCGCGCCAACACCTCCTCTCCTGCCTCATTTCCCCTCCACGTCCTCCCTCTTGCAGCTTCCCATCACCGGCCCTCGTGTAAGGCTGCAGACAAAACGCTGGTCTGGAAACTAAGAAACGTTGGACCTGGAGTGGAAGACGAGCAGAGATAGGCCCGCTGTCGTCGATAGCCTCAGACAAGCACAACAAAGCAGCTCAACAAACACCAGAAATGAGCCGAGGCTGCGGTGAAAGCTGAGAGGAAGTCCTCCTCCGTGTGTGCGTCCAGATAAAACCGGGATAATATCTGCAGCTTCGTAATAATCTGTCAGGCCTCTTTACCTGCTAATTAATGTGATGCAACAGGGTGAGTAATGCTGACTCAGAAGTGCAACGCGGGGATTTGTGGAGTAAAAAGGCTTTAAAAGTGTCTCCAGTGTGCAGTGTTTACTGCCTGCGGGTTATTTTCATCATCGGTAAATCACTTCGTCTAAATTATGGCTGCAGCTGAGGATTATTTTTTGTTTTTTTTGGTTTATAAATGTCAAAAATAAGGTAAACATGTTAATCGGTGTTTCACAAATGTCTCGTTTCATCTGCAAAAACCTAAAATATTAAGTTTACTCAAAAAGGAGGAAAGAAACCAGAAAATATTCACATTTTAAAAGCTAGAATCAGAGAACTTAGACTTTTTTTCTTCTTGTAAAATGACTCAAAACAGATTAATTGATCAACAAAACAGTCAGTGATTAAGTCTGAGCTGATAACTAATCAATTATTAGCTGCAGCTTTAGTTGGGAAAAAGCTGAAAAAATGCCCTTTAGAAAGTAAAACATCAAAGGTTTACAGCTATAAATGTGTTATTGTGTCATTGGTTGTGGACAAAACCACGACCCAGATTCAGTTTACGGTCACAGAGGAAATAAACGAGAAAATATTCACATATAAGAAGCTGGAATCAAAGAATTCAGACTTTTTTGGTTCTTAGAAAAACAGTTAATCTATTAATGAGTTAATTACTGCAGCTCTAGTGTAGAAAATACACAAAAATAAATGTAATAAATCAAAAGCTGACACCTTCAAATGTGTTGTTTTGCTCGAGAAAACCCCCCCCAAAGACAAAAGACATCCCTTTTCCTGCCGCAAAACAAAAGCATAAAATCTCCACATTTGAGCAGCCAGAGAATCGAACGCACAAATAAAATCATCATGATATTACGGCCGTTTAACTTTGCTGCATCTCCCTGGTTACCGGCTGGATGTGAGAGGAAGAGGACGTCGTGCCAGACTCCATTAAACAATCTGGTAATTTTATAAGCGAGCTGAGCAGATAAAGTACGATTTAATAGCTGCTGCGGATCAACAGGAGACACTTTCCAAAGCGCTGTACCTGGCAGCTGCACTTTACAGCGCTGCCAGGACGATAATCAATCTTTTTGTTGAGAAAACACAGAAAAAAAAAAATCTATTTTGTATTTACTACAGCAGATGGTGACATCTTCAAACGTCTTGTTTTGTCTGAGCAACAGCCCAAAACCAGAAGATATTACATTTACTACTAGATATTACAAAAAAAAAACATCCAGTCTCTGCATTTAGAAAGCAGCAAATGATTTATATTTCTGCTCAAACTACATTTGTTTAAATAGCATCTGATTAATTTTCTCTCCTTCAGCTCATTATTTAATGGACTAAGAGACACAAAACAACTGCAAAAAGACCGAAAATGACAAAAATGAGAGTCAAAACAACCACAAAGACACAAAATGACAAGAAAGACACACAAAACAACCACAAA